GTATCGAAACGTGCTCCCTCGCACATGTGTATTTGCATTAAACCGCCGTTTAAGCGGTTATAACGCGCAGGAACCGCGAACTGATAGCGTCACCAGGGACGGAAACAATTTTTCCCAGCGGAAACTTTATTGCAGCTGTTCGCTGTGTGTGTAATGTGTAATTTCAAAGTGGTCCAACAGCTCTTTGAGTCATTCAAATGCGAACAGCGAGGTGAAACTTAATTAAAGCTACCTCAATTTCAATCTATGTATTATAAAGTACCGCTATATTTCCTCAAAATAATTTTGATTAAAATTATATGTATATAATTTGCAAGATAGTTTAAGGATGTACGAGTATTGCTTGACGACTGCTAACGCGAGGAAGTGTTTGCGGTTGAAAAAGATGTGTCCTGAAACAGCGAGATGTTCTTATTCCTGTCAGTAGGTTGTCGAAAATGATCTCACGATTCACCGGATACTATAACTCGAAATATACTCTCGTACTCTAGAAGTGCGCGTAGGCGTTGATACACGAAATTTACATTTGATTTCTATATCGATCGATTCAAACCGAGTATTATCCATATCTATTTTAGGTTCCCGTCATCACAATGATATCATCGAAAGAACGTGTCTGAATGTTCTGGACGATCTGGATGAAGCAAAACAATTTCGAGGACAAAAGAGAAATAGGCGTGATTCTACATATCCTACGTGATTCCACATATGACACTCCTATCTCATGTCATAATAAAAAAAAAAAGATCCATGAACTCTGACACAGACATGTGTAATGTACAATCAATGTTAATCGAATGCCAATAAAAATTATTGTAATAAATATAAATTAATATATTCAGCCTTAAGGCTCTATAATTCTTCGTATGAATAAAAAAAATTAATTTTATATTTTTATCATTTCTTTGGTAGTGACATCACGAAGAGAAATATTCATAAATGTACGACGAGAAATATTAATCATTTCTATTTTAAAATTCCTATAAGTCGAAAAATATATATCGTAGATTTAATTATGATTTTTATATTAGATATGTGCATTCAACAAACAATTATTTTTAATTGTGTTCCTTTCACATTATCGTATTTTTTTATTCGATTGTCAACAAGAAAAAACTTTCATGAAAATCTAAATATTTCTGTTGAGAAGCATATCACATATTTTATTATCATTCAATTAATTAAAAAATGAACGAAAAGGTGCGCGGAATTTTGTATAATTTTGTAGATTTCGTTCTCCAGAAAAATACGAATATACGGAAGAAACTATAATAATCCAAAGACTCGCATGCTGGTACATAAACACAGCATCGGACCGTGACGCTAAATTTGGCGCACATTTGCGAGCTTGAGACGCAAAACAAGTTTTCTTGATCAGTCTGGTCGCCGCTGGCGATACCAGATATGCTACGATTGAATCAATCGTCCCGTTTCCCTTGCGCGAAAGAGAAGACGAGACAGAAAGATCGGATCCTGTTTAACCTAAACCTTGAAAAGCTGCAAGCTTAATCCAATAAATGGTAAGCTGTCAATGGCCAACGATACCTTGCGGCAGCTTTCTTTACAAATCTTAGATTTCAATCGCAATTAAGAGTAGCTAGATAAGCCTAATAACGATAATTTAATATTCTAACGACTATTACTGTAACTTAATTCTAGAGTAAAGTGTTATCGTTAAATTATTATTTCTTTTTCATGTTATAAGATTATTATTTATTATTTTCTTCTATTTATTATATTAATAATAATTATTATTCTACTTATTACATTAATAATTATAATTATTACTTGCATAGAATTTATCATTTGCTGTAATAGTGACTGTATTTTGATGTTGATTCCATTGAAACAGTCGCAAATACGATATAATAATAAAAACATTTATTATTACTCAAGTAGTTTTCTCTGAATCTAACTTTCAAAAGGATTATGGTCTACATTTTTTTATTAATGTCCGAGCGTATTAAGGCTCCGACTTCTCGAGAATACGAAAGTAGACGAAGCACCCATTGCAGAGGTCAAGGATCGCAGGCGAAATTGATCACGAGTGCGACTTCCTCTCTTCTTTCGTTTAGTTGATAAATAAACGCCTTTCAGTTTACACGACCGAGAAAAACAACATAAAAAGACCGCGCGAATAAAAGGGAAGTGCGAAAAAAGCAGGAAGGATCGGAGGAAGATCCCGTTTGTATCATCTGTCTTTCGGCTTGGAAGAATGTCTAATGTCACTCCCTCGCTTGATCCAATAAAAAAACGTGAAACTCGACATGCATCGTATATAGTAAACATTCTATTAATTTTTATAAAATTATAAAATAATATTAATCCAACTTCAAAATAAATAAATAAAATTATAAATATATTTACTAAATAAATCGAAATATCATATAACTGATATTAGGATTACGTTAACAAACGCGTAAGAAATTTTATTTGTTATTGTGTGCAATTATAGAGTGCTACACCAAATCATAAAGGTTTAATTATTAAAATAGAAATTCCCATAATTAAAATTCAAAAGTTAGATTGCGGTACGATTTCAATTAGATTGCGGTGTCGAGTAAACGGATTGGCCGACGACATTTACAACTCGGTTACGACAGTCCCTCTTAAACGGGAAAACGATATGCAGATGAATCTATGGCAGCCTTCAAGTTCAAATCACTCGTTAGCCGATAAGTGGTCGATCCTTCATGTGGAAACGATATTGGGCCCCGATTACATCGGGGCTATAAGTTTCTCGTAAAGACCGCGTTAAAGTGTACATCGGTGCCGACCGGTAGCAACACTCGCAGGCACTATCTGAGAAATAGTAGGAAGCCGAGGAGTGACTTCCGCGCCAACTAGTTTTAACGATGAGCCACCCTCTCCTCCCTCGCTCCCCTCGCGGCACGATAAGATTCTTCTTATTTGTTTGCGTTGCATCGACATGCACCGATGCACTCACGATGCACTGAAGGACGATGCGGAATCAACGCACGCACGCACGCCCGATTAAAATGAGTAAACACGTCGCGAGCGAGCGACAAAAGCAGAATTTTACGGCAACACCTGATAATGAATTCCGCGATATATATAAAAGTACAAAAATATCTAATGCACTTTCTGTGAATTTTGCAAAAAATATCGAGCTAATTGCGCCAAGAATTATTTGATTTATTAAATTTATTTAATTTTTTTTAATCAAATTAATTCAATTCTATTTGATTTTATTAAATAAATTTGATTTATTTGATTGATTAAATTAATTTAATTTATTATTAATTATACATTGATTTAATCTAAGATAAAATTTAATCATTTGATTTAATCAATAATTAAAATTATTTTTAGGAAATAAAACAATAGCAGAGATATGGAAAAAATTATACTATCAAGAAAAACAGTCAATTATTTCATAATCAACATCATTTGCATATTTCATTAATCATTTTAATAAAGATATTGATATATTTTTTTTATATATAATAAATTATCAAATATTAATATTTCTAAAATTAATTATTAGAATATATTGGCAATATTTATACACACATTTTCTGGCACCAAACAGATTTTCCAATTATGTCTGCTATAAGTAATACACATTTAAACCAGTTGAGAACGTGATGGTGACACCTGTAGTCAAACGCGCCTCACGTGAATTCGCAAACAAGAACCGGTTCGTGCTCGCGGGTGTTATTGGAGTCGTTTAGGGAGTTAGGTAAAATCTCTAAAACAAATGTATAAACATCTGGACCAGGAAGAGAACATGGGGGAAAAACAAGCAACGCGAAGCTTGAACGGAACGAGTTATTTGCCTCGTGATTTCGCGATCGTCGACGTCGCGTCTAATTTGTCGCGTCAGACTTCGCCATTCGACGATTACCCAAACGATCGATAAATAAAGCCGATCGATTTTACGATCCTGCTAAGTGAACGCTGTGTTATGGCATACTAAGCGATCCGTCGCCGAAGGATTGCGAGATACCAAGAGACAGTTTCTCGTGTCGCGTGTACGTTAAACGAGGCACGCGTGATTTAAATCGAATCAAACTACTCGTTTCATTGAGGAAGACGACGAGAAATCGATCAAAACGGAATCATACACGCTCGGTCTGGCGAGAGAAATCCTCCGCTCTTATGATGATCTGCTCGATAATGAGAATTATTATGGGCGAAGCTCGCGGCGCCGATCCCTTTCACTGCTCGAATCGTCCATTTCGAGCCTAAGATGCCGAGGAACCGACTCGGAGGTTCTTCGGAATCAGAATCGATTATCGCAAAGAGAAAGTGGGCGTCAATTTTTCATTCGACCTTCTTAAATCAGCGCCGATCTTCGTCTTCTTCATTCAAAAGTCCGCTCGCTACAAACGCGATTATGTCGAAATCCTTCACGATCCGTAGAAACATGATTTTAATAGAGGAATATTGCGAAACAGCGCGCCTAATCGTACGGAATAAGAGGTAGAATAGGTAGGGTGGGACTTTTGAATACGCCAAGTGATATATATGCACGCGATGATTAATCGTACCGACAGGCAACGAGAGATTTCAAGTGCGATTAACTTCTTAACGCTTACACGATGTAATCTACCAGAAAATTTAATTATAAAATGAAATTGTCAGATTGAAATATTTCACAAAAAGAAACATCGAAAAAATTTAAACAAATTTTTGTGGCCTTTATCTCTTGAATGAAATTACTATAGCGAAATTTGGGTTTCCTGACTAATATCTCTGTTGAATTATCACCTAGATATATTCAATACGATAATGTATATTTTATTTAATTTAAAGACCCCAATTTGAACCTCAAATTTTAACACACTATAAAAATATTTTAAATTTACTTTCCTTTTTGAAATTTTTTTTTATAATTTAATAATCGCAAAATTCTAATTTCTTAAAGTTTCATCATTTCTGGCTATATTTTTATATACTTTTATCTGGCTATATATTTTTTGTACATTTTTATCTCTTTTAAACGAGAGATAAAAATATATAAATCATGGGCTTACCTTAACCTTGGCGAGATACAGCTCTAATTCTCTATAGGGATCCATTTCCGTTGTCCTCTCGGACGTCACCTTGTCATCATTCTCTACGAGCTTCAATCTATTCGGGATTCTGCCAACGGTCGAGCCATTTTGCAGACGGCCACCACCTTCTTGCATGGTCTCCATGCTTCTTCGGTCACCTCGATGATCTTACATGCATTTTCTCGTGTACCTGCAACAATCATAAACAATATAAATTAATAATAATAAACATTAAAATAGCAACAGATTTATCAGATATTTATTAATAGTTAATTAAAGGATTAAATAATTGTAAAAACAAAATATGTAAAATAAAACATGTACTTTTTTCGTGCACCACATCGTAAACAATAATATTAAATAAATTAATAATAATAATTAATAATAACTTTACATAAATTAATAACAATAATAAACACAATAAAATAGGAACAGACTTATTTACCCGACATGTGTAATTAATATTGAATTAAATAATTTAAAATAAAAATAATTAAAAAAATAAAGTATGTAAAATAAAACTTTAATTAAAAACAAAAATCAAGACCAATTTGGACGCAATTTATCTATTTATTTATGTCGATATATAATATTATATATTTATTTATGTGGATATATATTATATATTTTATGCGGATAATATATTTATATATTTATTTACGTGGAGATTAATTCGATAATTCTGTAATAAATTCGCAGCCTAAAAATCACAAGATAGGCACCTTCTAGTCTATTACGAGCCGTTAATAGCGGACGAATAAGAGCAAAGCGATAGAAGTAATTGTAACGCGTACGGAGAACGGTGCTTAATCGAGAGCGAAAAGGGTGAAAAGGGGCAAAAGGGGACCTAGGAGCGTATTCTGCGGCAAAGGCATTATAATTAGCTCCCGGCGTGACTCACTGTGGCCGCCGCCGCATCGCGTCGCGTGGTCCATACAATCTCGGGGCTTGTCAAACACTTGAAAAGGGTAAAATGACCACCTGCGCTGTTATGATTGCATTTGGCTAAGTTTAGCGGCCGCGCCAGCGTTAGTCACTGGAGCTAATTATATTTCGCGCGGATTAACCGCGCCTAAAATGGGCTAATCCGGAATCAGTGCTCCCCGCATTTTGTACGGAATACCCCGAGATATCGCATCGCATTGCATCATTCGTATCGATTAACAGACAAGAAACATTTTCCGCAGCGAGTAAATATTGAGACGTGTAGAGCAAACGATTCAATCACAATGCTTGGGTTACTATTGTGTACTTTGTCGGTCGTTAACTCGTGAACACGTATAAGAAATTAAATTTCCGATAAATCATGACAGAGAAGCAATCTGATCACGAGAATCGATATTTTAAATAATAAATCATAATTCATGGACAAAATTATATCCAATTCTGCAAAATTATAATTTTGCAGAATTATGTGGAAATAACTTCAAATCGAATATTATAATTTTATCAAGTTGCCATAAATGTTCGCAAATTAATATGTGAGAGACCGGTGCTGGAAATGTTCTCGATTATAAAGTAGGTGTTTTCAATGCATAGAGACATAAAGAGCGTGAAATTGCATAAAATGCAGTCTGATAAAATAATTTCTCTCAGCTTTCGGCGGCGAAAATATGGCGGCGATGGATTGATATTTCTGCATAGAAGTTGTAACATTATGCCATCGAGAGACAAGTGCAATAGTGAAACTAAAATACGAGCGTGATTTTACGCTCCGGCGATCTCGCAATAATTAACATTACATTTTGCATTCACCTTCGATTATCGTATATGACTTTATCGTAGCGCATATCTATTCATTCGCGAAAAAAGATGTTGGATAAATAGAAGATAACGCGATGTTATCTATGTAACATCAAGTTTCATAACTTGAACTTTATAATTATTGCAAAATCGACTCTCGTGTAATCTGTTGCGTTGAATTTTTACGGTCGTAAAAAAATTACAACGATCCATTATATCACGGCTAAGAGTTTCTGCGACTTATTAATTTCCAGATAACATATTATCGTACAAAATATAATTTATCTTATCTCCTTCATAAATTTTTATAGCAATTGCAAAACTATTTGCAGTTGCACGTGCGATAAAAAACGTTCAGGGTTAACTGTTCTCTCTAAGAATTCCTTGGAAGTAAATAAGCCTAGAGGAAAAATAATAACACTTTTAGGCGCTGTTGGGCAACGCTCAACAAATTATGCAACGCGTTTTAATGAATCAATCGGCGTAATTAAATCTGTCGCTCGCATTTTACTCGAGACATTTGTAACTAACAATAAGTCGTGTATCACGATGCAGATACGCACACGCGATCGCGAGATTACGAATCGATCACATCGGGCACCCGTTTGAAGAATATACACAATACGACAGCCGTTACAATCACTCACCAACAATGAAGTCATACATGCGAACACAAGTCGCCTACCCGCATACGTAACATTAGAAAATCACCGGATGTCTAATCGCGGCCAACTGCCGGCAGCCAATACGTCAGGTGATTTCACAGGTGAACGATGATGCTTGTTGCATGTTAAGCACGGTTCACCGGATAATGGCCGCGCGCAACTTCCGCGTGAAATTAATTTTTTTACGAGATTATCTCCCAAGAAAACCAGTTAACCAATACTCCATACAATTCCATTCTTCTAATGATAAAAATCGAATCAAATGATAACTTAAATATTGCGAATATTGGAATCTTGGAAAAACAAAAATTGTGTTACAAATATTTCTATTTTTTATTTTGTTTTATTTCGTAATTAAAGCCCAAATTTAAAGGTATCTTAATATTGCTAGTGATTAGAACTCTTTAAAAAATCCATGAATATGCTTGGAAATCTAAAGTTTATTTAAAGACTAATGTCGAGGGAATAAAATAGAATCTCGCTAAAACAAATTAAAAATTTTTAACATAGCTGGCTGAAATAATAATACAAAAAAATTCCTCTTTCTCGCGATTTCTCGTTTATCGCATTTATTGCTCGGAAATTGCAGTTGCGAAATTCCAACCCCCAGTCTGTCTCAACTCTATATGAAAGGAGAGAATTTGTGGCTCGCGATAGGTAGGTGAGGACTGTCAGAATACCTCGTAAATAACTACGATACCGATGGTTCCCGATCCCGATATCTCACCCTAATCGAATGCCATTCTGCGAAAGGCAGACACGGCCTGTTGGTTAAACTGAATTAAACGGACCGCGAAAGAAGAAAAAAGAGAGAGAAGGAAAAACGCTGTTCTTATCAGCTGGAAATTATTGCAGGTAATTTACCCCGGGATCCATTTGCTTCTGGGCGCGTTCATACCTGGGTGGCTTGCAAGAATACAGATGAAACAGATCGGAAATCGACTCTACAAGACGTGTATTAGAGTACAAATGCCTTGCTACATAAATGTTAATAGATTGAAATTTTATCTATATAATATTATAATATTTTTATTGATTTTTTGCAAATTATATTTCTTATTAAATTCTATAAATGTTAGATATAAATATTACTTCGTATATATATTGTAAATAAGATTTTTTTTCTCTTTTCTTTTTCTTCTTATTCTTCTTAAAAATTTAATCTCTGTTAATGAAAATAAATATTAAATTAGTATCAAGATAAAATAAAATTTATTTGCTACACAAATAAAAAAATAAAAAGAACACTGAAATTACAATTACAAAATCATGAAACCTTTTTTATAAAAAAATTCAAGTCTCACGCACGTTTATAAGATTTTGTTTATTGAAAATTACTTTGAATCATGAAAAAAATCAATTATTTCTAATGTTAGAATGTTAACTTTACGCGACTGTTTAATTCATATACATGCATATAATACTGGCGTATATCATTTAGTAAAAACTCTAGTTTCATTGTCAATATTTCCATAATTTTTAATAATTTAAACAAATATATAATAATAAAAATAATAATAATAAAAACAAAAATAATAATATTAATAGTAAATAAAAACCCTCAAAAATTAATCATATAGATATATTAGAAGTGTGACGATATATACCTTTAATCGAGTGATAAAATCATGAAAAAATAAATTAACACAGCTAATGAATATATTTCTTTAGGAAATAAAAGAATATGATTCGGATTATTTAAAAAAATGGCATTTTTAATAGTTAGAATTATTTGTTTAAACTTCAAGAAATGTAGAATTCTTGAAAATAAAACCAAAACACTTAATAGTTTATGCATTTTCACGAAGTGAAACGTCAGTTTCACATAGCTTGTACGTCGATGTATTGACTTGCCATTTAGATAGCAACAAAATATCCGAAAATTTCCACACGCGTGGGTGGCTATAACTTAATTCACGAGATTTTTATTTTTTCAAAGTTTCTTCCCGAGGTGCGATACGTCGGCGATAATTGTTTTTAGTGTCTCTTCACCAGCGGAAAGGCGAACATGATGGCTTTGCGCTAATCAAAATCGTAAATTCGACCGATAAGAGTGCCAAGTGTTCCACGTACGATATTTTTGTTACGCGAAATGGAACTTTAAAGAGCTGTTTTCGTCTCCTTTTACGATGTTATTATCGCACTATCGCGTGCTCATTACGCTTCGCGAGATCTGTGCTTCCATCGCAGAGCCTGATCTCGTGGACGAAAATAATGAGCGGTTAGGAATTATACGCAATAACGAGGATAATTATCCCCGTGCAAGGATAATGCATAGCTATTATAATCTTTTGAAAGACTTTCTCGTTAAATTGTTAATCCAAAGAAAAAAAATGCAGACAATAAAAATGTAAAAAATATATAAAAATTTATAAAAAATATAAAAAATATATAAAATATATAAAAAATATATAAAAAATATAAATAAAATATAAAAAATATATAAAAATATGTAAAAAATATATAAAATATTAAAATGCGATACAATTAAAATTTATCATATAATTATCGATTCATTCTTTTCGTTCTTTTTGCACTAATTAATAAAATAGGATAACATGTATGCGATAAAGCTCGCACGTGATTCCTTCATTGAGAGATGCAGTGTGGTTTATATATGTGATTTATTTAATTTTAATCGATGCCATGAAGAGTAGGACCCCACTAGGAAAAGACGAGTTACGTAAGGTTAATTGCGGTCGTTCGAAGTACCATGCGTCCGACATGGATTGCGTCAGTGCATGTGCATCGACAACGGCCGTAATCATGGGACCTTGTTCCG